CAATTTAAAAAGGATAAATCATCTACTTTTAAAACCGATAAGACGGTAAACAATACTTAGTAAAATTGAGTAAACCATCTACATTTACACATAAAAATTGCAAGTTATAGTTTTAATATGTATGCAATTTTATAAATTATTCAAAATACAAATAATTAGAAAACCCACACACATATATTATACATTCAATTAAGAAACATCATGTGGTGATATATTTGCCTTTATAATTAGTAAATGTTAAATTCACATTTCAAAAATTGTATTGAATTTATTTAGTAACAAACAACTCTCTCTAATAATTTATATGCTAATTTATTTAAATTAATTTACTAATACAAATATAAAACATAAAATCAAGAAAATAAACAAAATGATTAAAATGATTTGAAGGATATTTTTGTCTTTACATAGACTTATCCCATGGTATTAAATCCTATGTATTACTAATACCTCCAAATAGAAGGTATTAGTAATATATCATCTAATACCATGCAGGGTGTATAACTAATCCATGGATGAGTTATACATAGGCCCAAATTCTTACCAAACATAGTACTATATAATACCTTACATAATATATGAACTATTTCTCCTAATACTTCCTATCAAACGACCCCGAGTGCAGTATTATTCTAGCATTCCCGATGCAAATCCAAATTTAGTCAGAACCAACGTAGGTACCAGACACGAGGTGTGAAGCCAAAAAGGAACCTAAAGAATCTGTGTCCTTCTATTACCTAGCTGTTGCTAAGTCTTGGAAGGCAAAAGAATTGTGCAACTCCATCTTCAACTAAGAGTAATGCAGACTCAGTTGCTACAATAAACCTCTTTACATGCTGCAACTAGTTAGTTGTTGAATCTGCAGTCTAGGTAGAGTCCATAAACAAGCACTCTGCCCAGAAGAAAAGTTCAGAAAAAACGCAGAGCAAACAATAACTAGAAGATTCAATGAGTCATATATAGCGAGAACAAGATTGTTCAATTCACGCTTAGTCCGAAACTCAAAAGGATCTAACACATAAAAGCAGGATGGACAGAGAAAATGAAAATTACCACACTGCAGGGGAACTAATAGTTGTGACTTCAATAGAAAACAGGAAAGACCTGAAGAAACAAAATTCATTTGACTGAAAGATCATGAGTATGAACCATAAAGATGAAAATCGCACCTCATTTGACTGATCATCATGACTCTAACGTCTCACACATGTCACATATGACTCATATAGATTAGGTATCTCATCCTTGTAAGGAAGCACAAATTCTGAACGAAACATAGGTTCAGATATATACATAGCTCGAGAAAAAGATACTTTCTGATTCAGCTTCTTCTCCTCTAAAACTTTCAGTACTTGATTTCTAGGAATCACTCTCTTGTCCAGGCTAAGCATTAGAAGTGCAGGATTACTAATCAAGTATTCTGGTTTGCATCCGAGTACCCTAGTGAAAACGTCCAATGCTCGCAGAACTCTAGCTTCTGACATAGCCAAACAGAGGGGTTGCTTTCTGAACACAGTCATTATATCCTGATCACACCATCCACAACTCCTGAAAACTCCCATTTTGTTTTCCACTGTTGACTTACCTAGTGCGATAACTGCAAGAACTCCGTACATGAACATTCCAGATGTGGGAGAAATCTGTAAATCCTTTTCAGCTTTGTGCAATATCTCCTCTAGCCACTCGAATTTTTGCAGAAGTATACGTGGTTTCTGAAGTATAAGTTTCTCGATTTGGTCATTTGAAAAACCAAATTTTTGCAACAACAATATTTTGGGTTCAAATATTTTGGACCATTGACAGCAAGTAAATAAGGTGACCTCTTTATAAGTTTAACCAAAGTTTCCTCATTACTAACTAGTTTCCTAAGAAAATCCAAATTAGACCTCAAATGAGAACCTACTGCATTATACAAAGCTTTCCCGTCTGCTAGGAAGAGATCAACTAGGTCAGATCCAGATACCCTCACTTCTCGCAGACACTGAAACTTGGGTTTAAGGGTTCTGTTTACATCAGAAAAAAGCAGTCTCGGTGTAATAGAAACTAATTTCTTGATCTCTGTCCGTTCTAAACCCATCTCTTGGAAGAATTTGATTACCAAATCAGGATTCTTAGGTGCTTTCACGCTGTTCAACTTGGCAGCTGCAGCATTTGCTTCATATCTGGAGAATCCCAGTGATTTGATGAGGTAGTTTGACAAGAGAGGGTTCTGAGAGTGAACGGTCGCACTTGTTGAATAGCAAAACTGAGACCATGATCCACTAATGAAAAAAAGCTGCCAAATGCCAATGTACCAAAACTTAAAATATTTAAGAAGCACAGTTTCATTAGACAACATTGCACAAACATTGATAAATGACAATGACAATAATATAATATAAACAAGCTGTTTTAGACAATGAAACAAGGGATAATGTATTCGAACAGCACTTTTTACTTGGAGAGAACCAACATGTATCTCCTTGAACCATAATTACGGGAGATCAAACTTCACAACAAGAAATGTTTCATGAGCAATAAATGATACAGAATTTATACCAATCAAAAAATAATAATATATATAGTTTATTCAAAGGGAAACTGAAACCATTGGAAAAAAATTCTGAACACAAAATTGATGAAACATTTAAATTGAAGACGTGCAACACACATTTGTTAAAAATGTAAAAATTGCATTACAAAGTGATGAAGCATAAGGCATACATGGCAGTTCAAGACCATCGATGGTTTACTCACAAAAATTAACTTGTGCAAGCTTTTGAGAGTCAATTACGCCGAATTCCTCTCTAGATCGAAAATATTCAAGGGACCTCCCTTTAAAGAATTACAAGAACCCCCACATGAATTACAGTGTTAAACAACAAAGTATCGTATTACTTACAAAAAATTAACCTCCCTTTCTTTTACTTTTAAACTCTTCTGTTTACTGAAATAAGAAGCATTTTAAGTCAACGTGTTACAAGGAGTATTTAAATAACAGGCAAATATTACTAATAACAAATCATTTAAAGTTGTGAAATTACAATGAGTATATGAAGTATTATTCCACAACAGAGAACTCAAAGTCAATTTTGGATAATTTGACTTTCGATTCTCTTATATATTTTTCTTTTACATTTGTAGTCTGTCTAAGAATTTCTAGTGCTATTCTTCTTATACAAAAAAAGTAATTCAGGAACTATAAATTCTTAGACATGAACAGTAAATGTTAAAATAGTTCTTGATAATAACAAAAGCAATAGAACACACAAAACAAGAAGAAAAGAGAAAACAAAAAAGGGGGACAATGGAAGGCACTGGCAGGCTCACTATCCACGTAGTTCAAACGGTGCACAACTAGCCCCTGAGGGTTTCTCGGTTATCGAAAAAGTAAAGTTTAAATATTCTCAATACTTTCAACAGTGTTACTCATCAACTTATTGTTGGTATGGTTTCTACTAATATTTCAATTAGAGGACTTTTTCTAATCTAGAGGAAAGTAGTATAACTAACCCAACATAGTTTGCTTTGAATGATTTACTTGAAGTCTGGCAGGCACAAAATGTCAACAAGAAGCTGAAGATAAAGTATGTAAATTCATTCCTCTATGCATCTTTTGGAAAGTGTGCTTCTAAGGAATAGAAGATATATTTTAGGGGAAAAAAGCTTATATTTTTTGTCAAATATATATGCACCAGAATTTATTATGTTGGTACAAAATGATTTTTGTAACTAACTGGACAGAGTTTATGGACTTAGACTACTTTATTATGTAGATTTACACAAGTCATACTTTTTGTACTCTTTACGTACCTCCTTGGCATTCTGATATTTTTAAAATTACCGTGCCACTTTTTCTTAAAAAAGAAGTAATAGCAAAGGCCAAGTTGTGAAAGCATTTAAACAAATTATACACCACTTAAACGTCTATGCATAGAAGTAGCCAAGAAAAGCTGAGTATTCCAATATATTACAACAATTGAGACAAAGCAATAAAGGGTCCTAGGTTCCACAACAAAGACTCCAGCTTTAGAACAGTTGCTCACATTTTTTTTTGATAATGACCAAGCGGTGAACCAGGAAGGTTGTGTTCTAACATTATAACAAATGAAAAGGCGAATTCTAACGCTATGTTAAGGAAGTCACAAACACAACATTTTAGTACTCTTACTTGGATTCTTCATACATATAGTACAGAAAGGCAAGGTAAATCCTGTATAAATCTGATTGTCAACCATATAGCTTCTTTTCTTGTTCACCTCCTTTACACTCAATATTTTCAGCACTCTTTTGGCTCAAAAAGTATACTGAGTTTGATTCTTTGGTACCATAGGATGAAAACATTTCAGTATTTTTTTCCTTAAAAACTGAGAATTCCCAAAGGTCAATAGGCGCATAGTTCCAAACTCCGTGAAAAATTGGTCCATCCCTCTACCCAACTCGACTAAAATACCAGACTTTGACCACTGCCAAAGCACAGGGGGCACATTCATTGCACTCTAGCTTTAACCACATTTTCTATAACCACTTAATACTTGTCAAAGAAAATCTAATTTAGGCATCACATTAGAATCTAAAATAACACCTTTCACAAGTCAAATCTTGATTTCAGGCTTACTGTACTGAGAATAGCAGCAAAAAAGTTACTGAGTTTGATTATTTTGGTATCATAGGATGAAAACTGAGAATTCCCAAAAGTCAATAGGCACATAGTTCCAAACTAGGTGGAACATAGGCCTATCCCTCTACCCTTCTAGACTTAAATACCAGACTTCGACCACTGCCCAGGGGGCACATTTGAGGGCATTTCACTCTAGCTTTAACCACATTTTCTATCACAAATAAGTACTTGTCTAAGAAAATCTAATTTAAGCATCACATTAGAATCTAAAGACTACACCTTTCACATGTCAAATCTTGATTTCAGGGTTACTGTACTGAGAATAGCAGCAAAATTTACATATAAATGAATTTCTTGATACCAAAATAAGAAATTTTCAAAGATTTCAAAGTGAGGTTACCTTGGTAGCAGTAGAAATTGCTTCATCATCTTTAGAAAATCCAACTGAACCAAAGAGAGAGTTTTCAGATAAATGAGGCCCGGAAACAGCTACTGGTAACAGAGAAGGTAAGCCGCAGCTGCCAGTATGTCGAAACCTATAGATTCGAGAAAGCATGGTTTTCAGAAGAAGAACCGAAGCTTGAAATTGAAAAGGGTTAAACCGGAAAAACGTTAAAGCGCCATTGCCTACTTTTATTTTGTCTTATGGAAAAAGGGGAAAATATATATTTTTAACTATGTGATTTGAAGGCAATAGACTTCCATTGTACTCCTTCCGTCTCATTCGATATGTCATCCCTTTCTATAAATAGTTGGACCACAATATTTATTATTTTATGAAATTTATGCATAAATTACCATATTTTGCCTATTATACCCTTGATAGAGTAGTTAATTAATCTTGAAAATATATTCATCATTTATTATAAAGTTGACTTAAAAAAACATTAAAAAGTAGAAAGGTAAAGTTACATCATTTCTTAATGTAAGTACAAAGTAAAAATGTGACATATAAACTGGGACGGAGGGAGTATGTCACTAAAACATGTATGTCATTTGTTCAACTTTATATAAGTTGAATATACTTTCACGCATGATGTGAATTGCCAGTAGGAAGGGGCAAGAAAACTTCGATATGGTAATTTTGGTATTCGGTTTTTAAACCTATTATATCATTATCATATCAATTTAATTCAGTATGATTCAACACTTTTTTTAAGTTCAATTTCAGTATTTTTGGGGTATGGTAAATTGGTAATCATAATTTATTCAACTTCAACTAATATATATTTATTTAATAGAGTATTATGACTTCGATAATTCAAAAATGATCTCAATTGTATCATACTAACATTACACATATAGAATATTTATTCAAAAGAAAGTACAAATAACTTCTTTTGTTAATTAAAATTACATTTCAATCAAAATAGAATAGTCAATTTCAATCTTGTATACTCTTTATATTATTAAATACTAACAAATATGCAACCTTGTATATTGGATCAAAGCTGAACTGGCTGACTTATATGATTTGTACATCAAAAGGATAGGAAAATAGAAGCTTTTCAATTTTCTTACTTCTTTTGGCTGACATGCAAGAAGCTTACAAACTCTGTTGGTTATCCAATATTGTTAGTTTCAGCTGGGAAAAATGGATTTCCTTAAATCATATTGACATTGTTGTTGGTTCAGGTTTTGCTGTTATCCACTATTTGGTGAAATGGAAATAAAAAGGTCATCTTTTGTGATAAACAACGGAAATAGAAATGAAGAAAAAGAAAGGCAAAAAGGCACAACACCTACTATAGCCCACCTTTCCCAGACCGTACACGTGAGATCATACTGGATATGTTGTTGGGTTTGTTTTCTCTCTGATGGATGAGAGGAGGATGTATGATTCCTCTTCGAGAAATTCTTCTACCTCGTGAGAATTCGATCAAGTTTAATTTGAGTTAGGAGAATCATAACCTGATTGATTCGAGGTATGTCTCTTCGTAATGGAGATTAGAAATCAGGAAAAACATTATTCCTTTTTGTAACTGCCAAAGGAATCAGTTATCAACAAGATCAGTTGAATCCAAACAGCTTCAAATGGAAACCTTGATTTGCCATATAGCTCACAAGAATTCAGACTTGTAAATATGAGGGAGGTCTTTCAATAAACTATGCCCCAACTCCATCAATGATTTTTGGCAACACCAATCCTGTTTTTCAGAATTCAATATGAAAAGAAAGAGGCCAAAAAATCTACCAAAGGAGCATAATTTTCTTGAGTGGTTAATACAGATCAGGTATCTTATCCTTGTAGGGCAGCACAAAATACTCCATGAACTTTGACTCTGTTAACCTGACAACAGTATAGAGCATCAACTCTCTCCTCTTAAGCTTCTTTTCGTCCAAAATTTTCAAGACTTGCATCCGAGGTACCACTCTTTTTTCCAAACTATGCATCACAAGTGTAGGGGTAAGAAACCAAGTAAGCAGATTTAACACCAAGCTCCTTCATGAAAAGATTCAGTGCTTTCTGTATTCTAACTTCCGAGAGGGCAAGACAATAAGGTAGCTTCCGGAACATGGGGAGTATATCATCATCAGACCATCCAAAACTCCTGAAAATTCCAATCTTTCTATCCAACATAGACTTCTTTTGGGAGGATACCACTCGAAATCCATACTGAAATATAGGGGAATAATACGGAACTCGAAAATCATTCTCCACTCTATGCAACAAATCCTTAATCCTTTCAGGCTTTTGTGTAAGAGGGCAACAGGAGGTTCATGTGGTGTTGTGGTGGAAGCTAATTGAACTGCCTCCTTAATCAGAGCTTCAGAGTTCATGTGTTTTGAGGTGCTCCAGCCGTGGGAGTTGGGTTGTTTTTCTCCAGATTTCCCCGCGGTTGCCTTGTGGTTGAGGCTCACTAAACTAGAATGGCTCATCTCCAAGGCCTTCAGGTTGCACAGCCCTCGCGGTACTCCGCACTGCAAGAGTTCCTGGTTTCATCTAATTGTTCAGATTCGGTCCAAAACCATCCTGACTTGTTACATCATCCATAAAAAATCACAAGTTAAGGCCAATTGGATTTTACAGCTTAAGGACAGTAAAAATAGGATACAATTGATACTAAACATTAGATAAATATGGCAAATATCAAGTGCACATTCAGAGGGCAAAAAAGTCTATCGACATTTCTGTTGCAATTTGACGCTTTTATAGAAGTAAATGGAATCCACATGGAAATGAGAAGCTAATTCATCTCCACACTGTCTACTTGGAACCTGGATGGGAAAAAATAATGCTTTACAATCACCAAAAGGGCAGAAACTATGTTTTCTTTAGACAAATGTAGATTGAGCATTATGTTAATTAAAAGCCTGGAGAGTGTATTCTGTGTCACCAAACATGAATGACCGACTAATTTTCGAAGAGTTTATAGGACAAATTCTACATCCTACAGCTCCATTCCCAAGTGGGCATATCTTTCACAAAGCACCAAATCATCGGAATTTCGTTTAAATCACAGAGTAATTGTAGAATAGATGGAGTACCAAATTATTTCGAGTGAAACAGTATGAAATGAAAGAGACTCTTCAACCTCAAATTAAGGACCAGATAAATACAAAAGCTCAGGTGGCAATAAAATGGATTGAATAGCAAACAACTCGTAAAATGTTCCAGAATCAAATCAGAACAGGATAGAAGAATATCCAAATGGGAAGCAAATAAATACTTGACTATTTCTCAAACCTCCAATGACATTTTCCCTTTATAAGGACAGAAATGACACCGACTGTAATTTTCAGAATACAAACTGAAAAAAAAGAAACGCAAAAATATATCTGACTACAAAATATGATTTTGAAAAGGTTAAACTAAAACGGCTAGGGAGCCGCAGTTTTCTTATGTGATTCATACAAATCAGGTATCTGATCCTTGTAGGGCAGCACAAAATAATCAATGAACTTTGTCTCTGATAAGCTCACAACAGTATAAAGAGCCAACTTTCTCCTCTCAAGCTTATTTTCATCCAAAATTTTCAAGACTTGCATCCGAGGTAGCACCCTTTTTTCCAGACTATAGATCAAAACTGAAGGCTGAGAAGCCAAGTAAGCAGGTTCAGAACCAAGCTCATTAATGTAAAGATTCAATGCTTTCTGAATTTTGACCTCTGACTGAGCAATACAATAAGGAAACTTCCTAAACATCTCAAATATCTCATTATCAGACCATCCAAAACTCTTGAAAATTCCAATCTTCCTATCCACGGTACACTGCTTTTGTGAGGCTAATGTATGAATCCATAAGGAAACATAGGAGAGTCAAGCGGAACCCGAAAATCATTCTCCACCCTATGCAACAAACCCTTAATCCACTCAGGATTTTGTGCAAAATACCTAGGATTTCTAAGCACGAGTGTTTTTATTCCCTCATCAGGAACACCACAATTTTTCAACAACAATAGATTAGTCTCCATAATATTATGAGCACCAAAAGTAAGCAACCAAGGAGCTCTCTTTAACGCCTTCACTACATTTTCATCACTACCCAAAGTTATCCTAAGACGATCAATGGTAGGTCTCAAATGAGTATCTAAACCTCTTTCAACAATTTTTGAATCTCTAGCAATTACATTCACCAGGTCCGACCCGGATAACCCGATATCCATAAGGCACTGGAATTTGGGTTTTAGGGTTTTGGAAACATCTGATAATAGCATTTTGGGTGCTAAAGAAACCATTTTTTTCATCTGGGTATTGTCCAAACCGATTTGTTTCAAGAAATTGATGACTAAATCAGGATTCTTAAAGGTTTTCAATGAAGTTACCTTGGAGGATGTAGAGGCAGCTTCTTCATCGGAGAATCCGAGAGAATCAACAAGGTATTTCACCAAGAAATGGGTCGGGGCAGGTGTAGAGGTTGATGAGTAGAGATATTGAGATCTGAAACGGAAGTCTCTATAGCCATTGCAATGATATATGGAACACTGAGTTGATACAACTACCGCTTTGCCTCTGAATCTGATGTGCATTTCCCTTACTAAACTTCTCTGCACTAATGGGGATTAGGGTTTATAGTCCCTCTTCCTGTGCTTGATGGACTGCAAGGAATTCACTGAATATTTTCAAAATTGATCAAATTTTAGCTTGCGTTTAGAATTCACCATTTCAAATTAGTGTTTGCATATTCGGGATCATAATTTTGAATTATCCCAATTCTCGGAAAAATATGATTTAATTTTCAATCATAATTTTATTTTTTTAAATATACAACTTAATTCACAAATTGACGTGAAGAAATTGTTCCTACTATACAAAAAGATTTTACTGTTTTCGTTTTAATATTTTTTAGTATGTTTTAGAAAAGAATATTTTTTTCAACTTTTACCAACTCTTTGCTGAATGAGATTCTACTTCTTTCTTGTAGTCCACAATATTTTACTTTGAGAAAGTTCATTTCATGGATGGATCATAACTGATAAAATGGACAGTTTCTACGAGAATGATTAAAGCGCATTGAAATATTTACCATTTTATCATAATTTTTATCAGTATTTTTGCCAAACTTAGATAATATCCATGTGTGTATACATGAGATTTAAAAAATAAACACATTTGATAAATGAGATCTCAATAATTAAGATTAAAATCTTCATTAAGTTCAAATATGCCCAAGAGAAGGACCGACTGTTAAAACAACAATTTGAGTTGAGTAAAATGACAAGTAGACACTGCATTATGTAAACTAGTCATAGGAAGGCTGGGACCAACTGCAATGAAACAGATAAACTTGCTAAATTATTTTGCTTTTTTATAGGATTTCTTGAGATTTGGGTAAGTAAAATTAAACAAAGAGAGTACATGATAAGTTTGTAAAATTTCTTTTTTATTTAGACTTCTTAAGTGACTTGTAGGAAGCAAGTAATATAAAACGGAGCAAAATATATATATATACACACACATTAGGGCTTGTGCACCAAAATAGATTTGTCTCCACTCTCCATAATGTTTCGAGCACCAAAATTAAGCAACCAAGAACTTCTCTTTAATGCCTTGACTATATTTTCTATCACTAACCAAAATTATCCGAAGGCAATCAATGGTAGGTCTCAAATGAGTATCTACACCTCTATAACCAATTTGTGGATCTTTTGCAATTACATTCCATAGTTTTATTTGATTTTGGATCATAGTTCTTTTAAATAAATAATATAAAACTCAATTCATAAAAGTTATATTCATCATATATTAGACTAATATTTTCAAGTTATAGCAGTAGAATTAAATTTTCAAATTGTAACAATAAAAAATTTTAGGTTGTAACAGTTTCTTAAAAAAAAAAGCTTTTTTTAAATAATTGTAAAAAATTGTTTTGAAAAAAAAAAAAGATAAAAAAAAATTCATTTTTTTTTAAAAAAAGGTAAAAAAATGGAAATAAATGTGTTAATTAAATTTGAATTGATTGAAGATAATTACTAATTAGCATAAATTAAGGAAATTCAAACTAATTAAGCATATTTAGTTTCCTTATTTCACTCTAATTTGTTAAAATTAATTAAAAATTCTGATTTCATCCATTTTCTTCCACGTTTCTCTCTCTTCGATTTTTTTTCCAGAAATCTTGTCACTCTCATCTAATTCATATTCTTTTTATTCAATAATCTATATTTTCTGGACGGCTTCTTATTAGTATTAATAAAACATCGTGGTAGATGGGATCTTTCAAGTTAGTGTTCTTTGCGATTTTTTATTTGTATTGTAATGCAAACCAAACGTTCAAAAAAATTATGAACAGTGATTCTGGAAAAAAAATTATTCAGATTTTGTTTTTGAATAATAGTTTTAATTATGGCGTTTTTGGTATGAATATTTACTTTTGAAATTACATAAAATTTGTTTGAAATTGGTATAGATTTTTGTATGAACATTCATTTTTTTGTATGTTTCTGGTAAAAAAATTACATAAAATTTATTTGAATTTGGTATATTGGTTATACCATGTTGGCACGATTTTAGAATTATATTTGAATGAATTTCGTATACTATTTGTCTAATAAATGACAATTAATAGTTAAAAGTGGTATTATTTTGGTATTATAGTGGCATGATTCTGCTGTGAAAAAGTGACGACTTATGTCATGAAATAGGTATAATTTTGGCATGAAATAGGTATGAAAAATGTGCATAATAATTATATGAAATTTGTATACTGATTTCAGATTTTTTGTTGTGTATAATAATTTGAATTATGGCGTTTTTAAAAAAAATGTATAATGTTATATTTTGGTATGAATATTGAATTTGTTCATTATTTGTCTAACGCTTTTTTTTTTTGGGTATATTTTTTGTTAAAAAAATAGATAATTTTTTCTTTGGAATTTGTATACTTATACTACCAAGCATGTATGACAATCGATAATGTTTTGGTACGATTTTTGGTTTGATTGAATTTTTTTTGGCATTATATTGTAATGAATTTTGAGAATAATAATGTAATGAATTTGGTATACTGTTTATTAAAGAAATGACAATTAATATTTCTAAGTTGGAATTATTTTGGTATTCTAGTGGCATGATCTTGGTATGAATAATTGATAACTTTTGGCATGAAATAGGTAAGAAATGTGTGAATAAGAATTGTATGAAATTTGTATACTGATATAACATATGTGTTTTTACTTTTGTATTATGTAATAACATATGAAATTGTTTTAAAATAACATATGTATTTTTACTTTTGTATGAATTTTGTAAGAATAAAAATGGTATGAAATTTGTATATTGATATAACATATGTCTAAAAGTTATTTGTACTTTTGTATGATATAATATTGACACAATAATTTATGATGAAACAGAAAAATATGCAATTCAAAAAGTGTTGGAGCAGAAATTATTGTCACCTAGTTCAAAAAGAACTGTAGGGAGACCACAACTTGTAAATAGTTTGCTGATGTGAAATTCAAGAGGTTTAAGATTATGTGCAGTACATGTCGTCGGGAGGAACACAATAGGAAGATATGTTCAAATTACCCTTCTGAAAAAAAGACAATATTTATTTTTATTTTGATTTGGTTGTTTTATTGTGGTAAACTCATGTTTTGATTTATTTTGTCTTTTAAGTTAATGAATTATAATTTCAGAATGTTTATTATGTGTGCTAGTTAATTATTTGTGTATTCAGTGTTTTTCAAATGTATACTCAAAAAATAGGTAATGTTTGTATGAGATTGATATTGACTGGAAAAATTAAGTCAAATCTTAGTATGAAATTGGTATACATTTGGTATCCAACTGACGTCCCAGTGGTAAAATTGAAAAACAACATGTAATTGAGATTTTAACTGAAATAGCCAACGTAAAACTAGTTAATATTGTATTTAATTTGTATAAATTTAGTATTGAATTGATATCCCATTGGAAAATTGTCATGTGGTTGAGATTTCAATCAAATTAGACAACCTAAACAAGTTAATATTGTATTCAATTGGTATCCAACATTATCCAAATTAGACAATCTAAAACAAGTTAATGTTTTATCTAATTTATATACACTTGGTATCCAACTTGAAATTTTAGAACAAAGACAAAAAATAAAAATGTATAAAATTAGTATCCAATGAGTATAAATCCGGGAAGAATAAATCTGGTTGTAAAACAATGCATATTATATATTGTTGTCAGAAATTGTAGCAAAAGAAATATACATCACCCAAAAATCAAAACATGTAATTAAAAGTCTAAACTGCAATAATTAATACAAGTTCTATATTTTCCTCTCTCTTCAATTTATATTCCGTATTCAAGTGTGATTTTTTTAATCATATTTAAGCTAAAACTTAAGAAATCCTTATTAAAGATTTTATGATCTCATATTATCTATATATATCAACAAATTTCAGAATTAAATATACTTATTTCACCAACAAAACAGTATTTTAGATATAGAAAAACACACCAAAAACAAGTTCAAAACTTAAGTAAAACAAAAATCAAGTTTTAGATTAATTAAAATAAAAAACGAAATCAAATTTTCAAAATATAGAATTCTTAATTCTAAAAAAATCAGATTAAAAAAAAATAATATCAAAATTTAAAATAAAACATCAAGAAAAGCAAAAAAAAAAAAGATTAAAGAGAGAAAATTACATGTTAAAATATACGGTACTAAATTTTTTATTTATTTTTAAATTAAAGGCCCCAATAGTCATTAATAAATAAAAGGTATTTGAATAAGTTAAAAAATCTCTTAAAAGGTGTAATAGATAATTACAAATTGATTCTCTCTCATTAATATTATTTCTCTCACCTATTAATTATATAAAAGGTTACTGCAATCAATATAATTAAATAATTAATAATATAAAAAGATTAATCATTTAATAAAAGTAAATTTTAATTGATTTTTAAATAAAGTTAAATTTAATTGATATGTTATAACCCATAATTAAATTGTAAAGAATTTTTTAAGAGTAGGTTTAAAACTCTTAATATTGTCTCTTAAATGTGTATATGGTGTGATTTTTCCATTCTAAATATTGTAAAAAGAACACATGTTCAACATAAAAAAAATTGTTTGTACCACATGAAAGGATTTTACTATTTTCATTTCAATTTTACTTTCTTTTTTAGTTTGTTTCAAAAAGAATGTCTCTTTCGTTTTCTACCAAACTCTTTGTCAAGCAAGATTCTATCTTTTCCTTGTATTCGACAGGATTTTTCTTGGGGACACTCAATTCTTGAATAGATCATAAGTTATACAAAGGATGGTCTTTGTAAGATAGACCAAAGCGCACTGAAATACTTATCACTCTACCATGTGACCCTTAACAGTATTTTTGCCAAACTATGATAATATCCATGTGTATATATATCTGAGACTTGAAAAATAAATGCACCTAATAATTGAGATCTCAATGATAAAAGATTAAACATCTTCATCAAGTGCAAATAAACAGACAGTTAAATAACAATGTTGAGTTGAGTAAACTGGAATTATGTAAACTATTATAGCCATAGGAAGCCTGGACAAACTGCAATGAAACTGATAAAGCAAGAAAATTTCCAGGCTGAAAGACTGAGATACAATTTTCAGCATCTAATAAAACAAATGTTCCTCAAAGTACTACTAATTTTTCATTATTTTCTTGTGTGAGATACACATCAGGAATTTGAGCCTTGTAAGGCAGCACAAACTGCTCAACAAAACCAACTCACTTAACTGGAGAACTTGATAGCAATAATGTTCTCTTGAACCCAATCTTCTAACCGAAAAGGGAAGCAGAAACCAACATCTCCGGTTTTAATCCCAATTCCTTTCAGAAGAAAATCTACCTTCCTCTCGATTGTAGCCTCTGATAAGAGTTAAACGAAAAGGCACATTTCGAACCATGGTATCCTAGTTAACTCCTGAAAACTGCACACTTCCTTCTCTAAAAGAAGCTCACTGATCTAAACAAAAGCATAAACTTTAAACTCCACAGAAGAAGAACATGCCTGATAATATACGACTTCCCATCTTTGTGGCTTCTCATTTTTTCAGAATTAAAGGTATGCTATAGAGTTATCCAAATGTGTACGTACTGAAAGCAACAAGACATAAAGAGAGAAATGATCTTTGGCAACACTGGAAAACATGCAAGTAGGTCACTGGAAAGCAAAACAAGTTTGAAATGAAAACAATACTTCAATGTAGTGCCAAAAATAAACAAAATGTACTAAGGAGCCACAATTTTGTTGAGCTGTTCATACAAATCAGGTATCTGATCCTTGTAGGGTAGCACAAAGTAATCCATGAACTTTGTCTCTGTTATGCTCAGAGCATAATAGAAACCCAACTTTCTCCTCTCAACCTTCTTTTCGTCCAAAATTTTCAAGACTTGCACCCGAGGTACCACCCTTTTTTCCAAACTAAAGACCAAAATTGAAGGATGAGAAGCCAAGTAAGCAGGTTCACAACCAAGCCTTTTCATGTAAAAACTCAATGCTTTCTGAATTTTATCCTCAGAGAGAGCAATACAATACGGTAACTTCCTGAACATCATGAGTACATAATCATTAGACCATCCAAAACTCTTGAAAATTTCAATCTTGTTTTCATACTTGGACTGCTTTTGCGCGGCTAATGTATGAAACCCATAAGGAAACATAGGAGAATGGAGCGGAATTCGAAAATCTTTCTCCAACCTATGCAACAAATCCTTAACCCACTCAGGCTTTTGTGTAAGATAATTAGGACATATAAGCACAAGTTTTCTTATTTTCACATCAGAAACACCAGAGTTTCTCAACAACACTACATTATTCTTCATAATTTGATGAGCACTAAATGAAAGCAACCAAGAACTTTTCTTTATAGCCTTAACTACATCTTCATCACTACCCAAAATTTTCCTAAGAAAATCAATGGTAGGTCTCAAATGAGTAACTAAACCTCTTTCAACAATTGTTCTATCTTTAGCCATTAATTTCGCCAAGTCCGACCCGGATAACCCGAGATCCATAAGGCACTGGAATTTGGGTTGTAAGGTTTTGTTAACATCATGGAATAGCAATTTGGGTGCTATGAAAACCAGTTTTTTCACCTGGGTGTTGTCGAAACCAGTTTGTTTCAAGAAATTGATGACTAAATCAGGATTATTTAAGTGTTTCCGTGAAGTTACCTTGGAAGATGCCAACGATGCTTCCTGTTTGGAGAATCCGAGAGAATCAACCAAGTATTTCACCAACTCAGAGGTTGTGCTTGTTGAGTAGAAACATTGAGATTTGATACTATTCAAGGAAAGGAAGTCTATAAGACCGTGAAATCTGGCAACAGCGGCCGCAGCGGCGCCGCCGCGGCCTCTGAATCGGAGGAACATATTGTTGAGCTCCTTTCTATTAAACTTAGCAAGAGTAGAAAACGCTTCTGCTTGGGGAGAAATGTTGCCTCAATGGTTAAAACCCCTTTTTGAATTATTATATTTTTGTGAGTTTCATATTTTAATTTGAGTGAATAGGGTTAATACTCCAAAACTATTAGATTTTTCTTTACTTAGATATGAATTCATTAGTAACGTATTAGTTTTTAAATTTTTTAATTAATGAATCACGAAAATCAATTAACATTTTGAATTTAACAAATATTTTGTTTTAGTGTGTAACATAGAAAACATATAAAAGATAATTTTATGTGTTATTGATTATAATAGTTAAATTAAGTATAAACGTTAAATGTTATTATTTTAGTATACATAAACAACAATAATTTACTATAGCAATCATAAAACTTTTAGAAAAACATTGTCACCGTAAAAAGATACTTCAATTCAAAATAAGTTTGGAATTTGTATTGTGAAAAATTAACTAGTTTTATATGGGTTGTAACAATGTAACTTGTAACCTAACACAATCCTCCTTTGTTAATTGCACTAAATTTTGGAAATAAACATAGACCAACTTCTCATTGTTCTCAAAGGTTCTTCCTCCCAAACTCCTACCATTAGAACTTCCTTTCCCCTCCATCCCAACAACGACATACCCACTGTAATTCCACAAGTGAGGTACGGGGAGGATGACGTGCATATAGACCGTTAGCTCAGGTAAACATATGAAAAATCAAATATGCAAAGCAAATATAGTAGCTAAGAAGTCATGCTGAAAACAATGAAGAGAAAAGTGATAACAACAAATAATATAATAATTGAAACAAAGGAAGCAACATATAATACTAAAATAAAAAAATAAGATAGTTGGAGAATAATAGTAACAATACTAATAACAGAACTAGACAGCACTCAACTACCTACTAACTTTGTACCCTAATCGTTGCCCTCCCACCCCCATAAAAAATGGAACTCCCCTGACGATGTTCCTATAATAGGATGAAGACATCTCTCCTTCAAAGAGGTAGCAAGAATTCGATTTCCCCTAGGGTATGGTACTAGAACGATACATTTTATTTATGTACCAAACACAAGACAATAATTAAAAAACCATACATTTTCCATGGAAAACAATTCCCTTCATACCAAACACACCCTTTTGTGTCATCATTTGAGTGTCATGAATGACACTCTCTTTTCCTGTGGCTTCTGCTACTTAACTGAAATTCTGAGAAATATTAAAAGCCTGTACTTAACTACAAGGCTAAATGTTGGTCAGGATTTAGACACAAAATTGCCAGCCATTGCTATTAGGCCAGCTTGAGAGCTATTGACATTAAAGTTTATCCATCTTAGAGAGTTAAAACTAGTAAAATTATGCATCACCGGCTCTGCTTCAGCTTGTTTCACAGAATGTTGTGTGTTTGCTACCTGCAATCAGTATGAATGCATGCTTGAGATGACTTCCAATTGCAGATCAAGTCCTTTCATCAAGCAGCAATGAGTCATCTGCAAAGCTGTTGCCATCACCGTCCTTCTCTGATCGAATGCCACAACGGTTGTCATTCTCGCATGCCTCATCCAGCACAACATACGAAGTTGCAATTGAGCCAAAATACTGCACAAGAAATTCAAAGATTAAGGTGGCATTAGGGCATAGTTCCTGGGAACCATTCGTTAAAGAAAGCACTCTTAGAATCAGACTCTTCCTAAAAATCCAAACAATATCAGCAAATCTATCTGTCAACATGGTGTTGTTCCTCACATTTTCTGTATAGACCATGAAATTACAAGAACGGTCTTTTTCCTAAAAATAATAATAGTAAAGGAGGTGTATCTGAACCTGCTCCATCAGCAAGGAGCAAGAGACCCATGTTTTATGTAGTGATGTCGGCATTGAACTTATTTGTATCTATTTAGTGATTTAAATTCACCTCGACTGATTCAACTGGTACCTGTTATATTCTACCACAAATCATTATATGCACCGGATAACTTTGTCTACCATCCAGGTGTGTGTCCTAGTGGTCAATAAAGTGGGTAGGAGAACCATGAGGTCTCAGGTTCAAATCCCAACAGAGATAGAAACTACTACGTGATTTCTTCCTATTTATCCTAGCCTTGATAGAAAAAGTTACATGGTACCTATTGTTGGTGGGAGGTGGGAGGTATCTCGTGGAATTAGTCGAGGTGTGTAAAAGCTGCTCCAAACACCACGGTTATCAAAAAACAACTTTGTCTACCAAGGTTAGATAAGTAGCAAGAAATCACCTAATACTTTAACAAACCATCTTATTAGCCAATCCTTAAAGGATTTGACATACTCTGGTGGTAAAGTGAAAACCCAATCTTCATATTCTCCATCCTGAATTGATTAATATTTATCATCGCATGCTAGGTTTAGATATATTACAGTCTTTTCTCAATATCTATGTGTTTTAGCTGCAAAATAATGAACTCATGAATGGAGAAGTGTGTTTTAGTAAGAAATAATTTCAGAAGTCCACTACTTTTTTATCATCGTGGTGTCTGAGTTAGCTTGCGCGCACCTCGACCAATTTCTCGGGATACTTGCTATTTCCCCACCAGTACAGGTTGTTGTGCCAGTGAATAACTTTGCTCATCAAGGCTTGAAAAGATGGGAAGAAATTATCTAGCATTTTTACTTCCGCTTGAATTTGAACCTAAGACTTTATGGGACTCAACTTTCTTCATTGACCACTAAGCCACAACCTAGGGTGCAATTTCAGAAGACCACTATTGGATGAATTTTGTACCGCATGTTTTTGTGTTGAGCTTTATAAACTCAAAATGAAGATTATTAAAGGTATAATATTAACACGATAAAAAAAATAAACTACTTCACCTCCCCTCCAAAAAAGATATCCATAATAAATGCAGAGGAAGAGAGGGGTTAGCCACGAGGAAGGAGGGGGTGGGGTAGTAAAAGTTGATAAACATCTTCATTCTCTTGTGTGACTCCTTGGAAAGAAAAGAAGAAATTAGTCACATAACAAAGCATGGATAATCCACAACACAACCCTGAGGCACTAGTGACAATCACAACAAAAAATCACTGTGTGACGGGTGGAAGATTCCAAACATCTGAATTCTAATACGTGACTAAAATAAGATGAATAAACAGGGGGGTTAGCTGAACCCGAAAGCTTTCAAAGTAGAAGCAACATTGCAGCTAGAGTGTGAACAGGTAACAAACATCATCAGAGGTCCATTCTTGTTGTTTTGGTGCTCCTAGCTCCTTAATTGGGAAGATGGAAGCCTAGTACATCGAGTTCATACTTGGCAAATAATTCTTCACCCATACTCTATTAATCAAACATATGCAACTTGTCAAATTAGTTGCATCATACAGGTTTAACTAGTCATAGACGATTGTTCTTTTTTAGAAAAAGAAAGGTTCATTGGACAGCAGATAAATCCCAAACTGATTGTTTTGAACGGTATAAAGCCCAAACTAATTCTTCTTCCCCTTTCTTTTCGGGAAACTAAAAGTTTCATAGATGCCTAGTGCCTACTATGATATTACCTAGAGGACACAAAGGAATGAAAATTCCTTTTTCACCTTTTTGAGAGATAGAAGGAGGGTAGGGAAACAATGCAAAAAAAACAATGTCTTAGTCAAGTAATCTCAGCAAGGAGATTTTATCGTCACCAAACTATCAGCAAATGAGAAACAAAATTCAGGGGATGGGATGGGTTTCCAGGAAGCATTACATTGTCAAGAACTCAAAATGATTTTTTCTGAACATTGTCCAACAAGCTCTGTGTTAAGTGTAGGACTGTTGAAATTTCACCCTTGAGTATAACCTAGGGGTTGATAATGATTTGGGCCTAACTATATGGAATAGATATGATACAGCTAAGGCTGACTAGTTTGGAATCTAGGCATTGATGGATAGATATAAATAGCCTAAAGGCTGATAAGATAAAATAATCATCCTAATCAATCACAATCTGCTGTAAATAAGCACAGATCACGAGTTCGAACTGTTGCCAGTGAACCAAATCTTCTGTTTAAATGGAGAATGGCAGAGGAACCAATTTTGAGGATAGGAGCAGAAACAGATTTCTCACTTTCTTATTCTCAAGAGCCTCTACTGGAGTTTCTTCCCTTTAGTTCAAAGTTATACATATCATTTTCGCAAGAGTTATAATCTCACTATGGTAGAAATTGCAAAAGACTAGATCGGCAAAATGAAATGGAGTATCAAACCTCTGGCGAACAAGAATATCACTTTTTGTATTTTTCATGCTGCTGAATGTTGTTGTATAGTTCACACACATCAGGCATCTTATGGGCAAGCACATAAGCCTGATAAAACTTCTGTTCTGATGGCAACAGAACAGTATACAGATTGTAATCTTCATCACATAGTTTCTTCTCAACTAAACTTCTCATGAATTCCAACCGGGGCAAAACTCTCTTTTTCATACTGAACATGAGCAGTGTTGGGTGAGAAGCCAAGTAGGCAGGTTTCAAACCAAGTTGCACCATGTAGAAGTCTAGCGCAGCTCGCAATTTCTCCTCTGACAGCCTCAAACAATAAGGTAAAAGCTGAACCAATTTGATTATGTCCCATTTAGACCAACCATAATCCCTTAAAACGCCAAGTTTTGTGTCTACAGTCGACTCTTTCATTGAAATAAACACATCAACTCCATGGATAAACAATCCCGATGCTCGAGAAATATTAAATTCATTTTCAAGTCTGTGAACTTTTTCCTCTACAACCTCAGGACTTGCCAAAAGAGTATATGGATTTTGAAGTATGAATTTTTTGATATCATCATCTGTAAACCCAATGCTCTGAAAGAACAACATATTGATTCTCACTCTTTCACATGCTTTAACAGAGAGTAAACATGTTCTTTTCTTGATAGCTTTCACTACATACTCATCACTACCCAAAATTTTTCTAAGATAACTAATGCAAAATTCCAAATCAGAAACTTCAAGGCTTTTCAAAATAGACACACTCCCTGTAATGACCTTGACCAAATCAGATCCAGATAAACCAAGCTGTTGAAGAATGTCAAGTTTGGGCTTAAGGGTTTTGTCAACATCACACACAAGCAACTTCGGAACTGCAGAAACAATTTTACCGATATGGGTTTTGTCCAAACCACTTTTTTCGAAGAAATTTAACACAGATTGAGGATTTCCAGTGGATTTCGAACGAGTTACCTTAGTGCTTGTTGAAATGGCTTCTCCTCTAGAAAATCCAAGCGAGTTCACGAGATAGTTCACCAAGAAATGTGTTTGGTCACATGCAGTTTTATCTGCAATTGTTGAATATTGAAACAAGAATTTGGAGTTGTAGATGAAAAAAAGCTGCCCTACGGCGGCGCAATGGCCGTGCGGTCGGAATAAGCGAGCCGCCATAGTTTCCAGTTTTCATCAATCTGAAAAGAAAGGGACCAAATTGGCCTAAGAATACTAATTATGGAGGACTTATAAATAAATTAATTAAAACTTGTTTAATGACAGACATTAAAAATGAAATTTGTTTGTTTAAATTTGATTCAGCAAATTTAAGAAAATAAAAAATATTTTTGGATTTTATGATTAATTCTATAAAAAAAAATGTGCTTAATGTATCAAAATCTTTTGATTTTTGTGGTCTTGGATATAATAAATTAGATGATAGGTGTAAAGAGTTATTACCAAATATAAACGATGATTTTTTTTAACCGATTAAAAAGAAAAGTAGGATAAACAATTTAAAATAGAGGAAATATATGTGCATATTTTAATTAAGTTAAACGGTATGATCCTAAGACATTCTAGAAATACTCCTCGGTTAATTTTTACTTGTCACTGTTTGACTTGACACGTTTATTAAGAAAACAATTATTAATTTATGTATTTTACCAAACTATCCCTATTAAATACTCTCTCCGTCCCTAATTACTTGTCCACTTTTGAATTGACACACATATTAAGAAAACAATTAATGATATAGTGAGTTTATCATTTTACCCCTATTAATTATGAAGTGGATGGAAAATTCTACATTTTTCAAGAATTTTCCAAAGTAATTAGTCATTTAATTGAGGGTATAATAGGTAAAAAAAAAATATCCTTTCTTGATTTGTCAAAATGGACAAGTAATTAGGGACAAATATAAAAGAAAAAGTGGACAAGTAATTAGGGACAGAGGGAGCAATGTTAGTCTTAGGTCTTAAAAAATAATTAAAAAATTAATATTTAATGATAAGGGTAAAATATGAAAAAAGCATAATTATCTTTTCTTAATATGTCTTTTTTTATATTATTCAATTTTTAATATGTTAAAAGTGATAAGTAAAAAATATACTTTTTCTATTGTGGATGAGAAATGAAAAAAATTGCATTTTGAATAGCAAAAAGACACCTTTTAGATTAACATAATTTATTTTGCAATTTTCAAGGTGGTTTTGAAGTGTCTAAAAGACAATATTCTCTTCGTTCACTTTTATTTGTCAAAGTTAAATTAGATTATATTAATTTGATATTTTAAACAAATAGTTAAATATTCAAAAATTATATGAAAAATACTATATTACAATTTTTTGAATATCAATATAATAAAAAAATGCATCATAAAATGTTAGTAAATTTTTTTATCATTTAACTTTTAAAAAGGAAAATGATAATTAAAAATGAACGAAAGTGGGAGTATAAAAGACATATGGTGTGGTTAAGATCAAATCATTTTTTTAAAAGCAAAGTTCTTTATCATTTTTCCTCATAAGTTCAAAAAATAACAAAAATGAAGTTGATTCACATCCTTGCTCTTCTATGCTTCCTTCACCTCAGTGCTACATCCTCTGGTATGTACCTTTAATCTCCACATCACTTAATAATTATCTTGGACAAAGTATAACTTTCTTTTTATTGATTTAAAAATCGTAAAATTACACTAAATACGTTATTATTGTTATTGATTAAAAATCAAGGGATGCAACAACAACAATAATTATAATTTAGATCTCAATTTCAAATAAATTCTGGTCAAGTGTTGTGTGGCCATAAAAAATTCAAGTTGAATTTTCAAGATTTTGGCTTCAAATTACTTACAAAAGGTAAAAAATAACTCCATTTTTTTCAAATTTTAAAATGAAACATGATCAAATGTCCATTCTGACTTTTAAAATAAATAAATTATGTGTGTGTGAACAGGGAGGAATTTGGAGAGGAAATGCAGTCAAACGTTGGTTTATGTGCCAATAAAAATGGAGAATTGTGAAATAGGGAAATGCATGGTCACTTGTGGAAAGACTTATGAAGGCACTGTTTTTGGAGAGTGCCCAAATCCTGATACTTGCTTTTGTGGTATTTATAGATGTATTCTTGTTTAATTTGTATTAACAAAAAAAATTCTCAATCAAAACAAGAAATTAATCTCAATTTGACATGTTCTTGACTCTTTTATTATGTGTAAATATTTGAAGTCCATAGTGAAAAAACTAAAAAGTACTCGATAATGTTTTCTTTTTGGAGTGGTAAGTACTCTTTCATTATTAATCAAAGAGATCTGAGTCTCTCGGGGTGCGGAGTCCCCTTGAGTTTTTGGCTAAAATCATCCCTCAATTATGACTCAAATCTAATGTACATCCTTATATTATCTAAGTGAACAAAAAACATCCTTATACTATCCAAAAAATAACAAGAATCGTCATTCAATCTATTTTTGTTAAGAAATTGATTGAACCAACAAAATAAAATATTTTTTAATTTGGCCACGACGAGGAGATCAAAGTTACCTAAAAAGAATAAGGATATGGATAGAAAATGAATTTTTCATTCTCAAAATTTAAATTTTGTGTGTTGTTAGTTTATATGTTTTTTTGCATCATCAAGTAAATTGACTTGCAACAATACATAAGTTCTGAAATATTTATACAGTATGTACCGATAGTTAGAAAGATTATGTAAAAAAAATCATTTCAAAAATATTACGTCCAATTATTTAAACATTTTCTTTAATAAAATATTTAGGGCGTATATGTTATATATACAATGCAATTCACATTTTATACAATGTACAGAAATGTTGGAAATTTAGTGAAATTACGTAGGTGTTTAGTTATGAAAATTAAAAAAAAATATTTTATTTGAAATTTTTGAAGTTGGAGTAGTATTTGGCCATATTTTTACAAAGAATATTTAGAATTTGAATATATTTTGTCTGAATATGATTTAAACCCTCAATTTCTAAAAATTAAAAAAAAATCACCTAACTTGATTAGCTTAACCATGTGTACATATATTCATTCGATTTGGCACATTTTTTGTTGGTAGCGTGAGTTTCTTAAAAAAAATAGACACAAGGAGGAATCTTGCAACTTTTTGAATAGTTCAAGGATGTACTTTAGGTTTAGGTGATACTTCAGGAATGATTTTAGCCAAAAACTCGAGTCCCCTTTGTTAGGAAGTGTTTTACCCCCAATCAATGGCGGAGGCAGAATTTTCATTGAAGGGTTCAAAAGAACAATTAAGCACGCTAACCGTATCCACATATAAACGAATCAGGTCAAATATATGTAACTAGATAAAATTTAACTCTACGTCAACAAGAACAATAAAACATAGGAATAAGCAACAAGCTAAAATGTCCAAAGGACTCGAACTCGCGAAGCCAAGAAGATTTGACGGAATCTTGAATCCACTTTACCACTGAACCAAGCCTTTAACATATTCTGAGGAGGTTCATTATTAAATATATACACGTAAATCAATAAATCAATCTTATATATATAATGTAATTTTTCGAAGAAGGATGAACCCCATCAGTACCTCCACCCCTGGCCCCAATATGGGACTTCCCAGAACCCCCCAAAAAAAAAAAAACTAAAAACTAAAAAGTAAACATGTAATTATGTTGCTAAATCATTTAGAAAACTCTTAATTATCATCTAATAATCTAGAATTAATCATGATAAAGTTGGTGAAGTTCGTTTTATTACCTTAAACAATATCGATGGATGGGAGAAATATTTCATTTTAGATTGTAATGGCCTAGTGATTTTTCAAGACATTATACTTAGGCAATTATAAAGTTTGCTTTAATTAATTGTTAAATCCCAGTATCTCTTCTTTATGCAAAAATAAAATAAAAATAAAAAGTCAAGATTTGCTGTCCTAATTGTCTTTGAATGATAATAAAGGACAATTAATTTTCAGTTGTTAATTCTTACTATTATCATTATTGTGGTTGTTGGGGAGATCATGTTAATCTCTATGCATAATAAAACAATCTATATTTCTATTATATAGAAGAGTGAAGTGGTAGGACGACCAAGGGTAAAAATGTAATTTCATTCTAACAAAAATCTATTAAGAAAGATAGTAAATAATTCTAGAAACATCTTTTTATATATTAAGTGAATTATGATCAAGGATAAAAATGTAATTTCACGCTAACAAAAATCTACCAAGAATGATATCAAGAAAATTAAATAGTTCTAGAAACATCTTTTGTTATTGTTATTACCATTAACTTATTTTGTTATTACTTCACTTTCTTTTCTTTTGTGAGTTATTGTAATATCTATTCATTACTCTATTTTACTATTACGTTAATTTAATGCTTAATATTTTTTTCTATTCATTATGCTTATCAAAAATGCCTACTTTAATTCATTATGAATTAAATATTTTCACCTTTATTTTGGCTCTAATTAATATACTTGAAAAGAAATAAATGTGATAAAAATTAATAATATGTAGGACGATCAAGGGTAAAAATATAATTTCATTCTAACAAAAATCTATTAAGAAAGATAGTAAATAATTCTAGAAACATCTTTTTATATATTAAGTGAATTATGTTATGATCAAGTGTAAAAATGTAATTTTACGCTAACAAAAATCTACCAAGAATGATATCAAGAAAATTAAATAGTTCTAAATATTATACACTTTAGTATAAATCTCTTATTAGGAAGACTAATACACAATTTTTTCAACATTAAGAACTTCATTTTTCATCTATTCCCTAATGGCCCTACTTTTGTAAAACAATTATAAGACAAGAGTAAAATTCATTATTTCTTAGTGAACACATCACTTCTGAAACTTGTCCATATAACAAATTTTCAACAAAATTCAATTGATCCACATTTTTCAAACATTCTAATGAATATGATAATATATGAACCAGTTAATATGTTAAATCCAATATCAATCACAATTGCAATTCTCAGAAGACGTAATTCATAAGGAATGCAATTAGTGAACAAGCTCTTCAAGAACAAAATTTTCAAAAATTTCAGAGCATGTTATGTCCTTTTCTTTGGTTCTCTTTAGACTTTTCAATTTCATGGTGTTGCTTTTCTTTCTGGATTGTAAAGATACTTTTTGAAGTATCTAATTTACTTGATTTCTCTTTTTATGTATAATCCCAAAATTTCACATAACATACAT